ATTTCACATGTGAAATTTCCAAATTTTCTGATGCATAAATGTATTTTTAATCTTAAAATGAAAATTATTCTGCATGATAGATAGGCAAGATGTAAAAAAAAAAAAAGGCATGAAAAAAACACTGATTCAAAAACCTTATGACTTAATAAAAAATTAGATATTTTGCATATGAAAGCATTGTAATGTTTACTGATAACCAGCCAAATTTAGTTAACATTCGCTTACTAATTTAAAAGTTATAGCATGAAAACTATAACAAGCACAAAATGGTTACGAGGTCGGTCTCAGGGACCGAGCCCAGGCTGAAAGAGTTAACTGAAATTTTCAAATAATGTAGGAGTTGCAAATACACAGCTCAAAGGGATTAAAAGGTCTTTCTTTATCCAATTATTATTGTTACTGAAAAAGTTACTTTTAGACTTATCACTTTCATGCTTTTTTTTAAGGTGACTTCTGAGATTATTCATACTAAAATTAAAGGGTTGCCTTAAATACATCAGAGCACAGTTTGACAGGAAAAAAGAGGCACATTACACCATGAAACTATACTTATCTCATTCCTCTGATCTGATAAATTAATCGCTATTCACATATACAATGGTCGAGGTTGCAACTAGCACAAAAAAATAAAATCACATCGCATATCTCTTAAATTCATTTACACTCAGTAGGTCACGGGCATTGAAGCAATAGCATGAAGATGATGAGCATGTTTCACTTTTTTGGGAAAAAGAGGCTGTTAGTTGTTTTTTCCAGCTATACTGATGATAACATAAACCGTAACTGTAAACTTTTGTAACTCAAATAATTATCTTACAATTGGTTTCCTTTTGAGCATTTGTACTAGAATTAGAACAGAGCACAACTTTGTTATATTCATAAGCAAAATATCAGTAGTATTTAAACAGAAAGCCCCATATAATGAGCATACCATTTCTGTGATTTGGTCTTTAGAATCAGTCAATATAGATGACTAGTGCATATGTAAGAGCACAGGGTGTGATTTTTATGTTAGGACATACATTATAAGTCTGGGTGTTCACTCCATTGAACTCAAGAATTAATGAAAGAGGATAAATGTCTACATAAAATAACTTATAAGCATTAAGCTGTATTTCATAATACCTAAATATATATTAAGCATTTTACAGATGAGACTTTATATTTTTAAATATAAAAATCCCTTCAAAATTTCTTTTCTTTCTTTAAATAGTTTGAAACGAAAGCACAATTTTTCAATACCTCTCTCATCTGTGTTATCATGTAATTATATTTTATTTCTTGTTTGTTAATTCAATATTAACTCTTTAAACATGTAATTTTTCGAGCATTCTGCCGGACTTATTTTCACAATTTCCTAATAATTATCACCATACCATATAAAATTTCAATTTTTGTAAGTATGTGGAGAATAACATGGTTTTGATTAGTTTTCAGCCAAAGAGAAGTAAATGTTTCTTTTTTTGTGAGTTTAAAACACTTAATTACACCATTTTGGTTTTCACAACTATAAAGCCTTGGTTTGGTCTGATATTTCATTGGTGGTAGTGTCCCGGGTCACTGATGAGGAGTGGAATTCTCCGAAAC